ACCTTCGATTTTTCATCCCTTTGCGTTCAGAGTGGAACATGGGGTTTCAAGCCATAACCTTTGAAGTTTCAGAAGCAGTGGTGTTGTTTTCACACAGTAGGGTAGCCAGGAATTAGAACGCATTTTTTATTCTATTAAGCAGAAGTTAAGCATAAAAATCTTTGTTTAAGGAAACAGCGATGAATGCAGTATAATAGTGTAATAATTAAAGAAAAAGAAACTGGTTATTTACAATAAATGTGCGTCGGTGGCACAGTGGTTAGGACTCTCACCGACCATGCACATGGTTCGAGGTTTGATCCCCTGCCGACGCACACCCGATATCTATGGTAGGCCTGCTAAATTTGGACTACCGATATCCATGCTGAAAATTCCATACTTGTACTGAAAATACGGTGTGGCATCAAGCTGTAACCAAAATATAAATATAAAATATAAAAATATAAAATATAAATATAATATAATGTAGAAGTCAACTTGAGAAGTTTTGGCATATGGCTGTCAATTAAACCAGCAACATACAAGAATAAGATTGCATAATAATATATGAGAAAGAATCTATAAGTAATCTAATCCAATTAGGTCTAACATAATTATGCAATAAGTGAGGAAATTTTCAGCAGGTTAAACTGAAGCTAATCATGATTTCTTTCTGTATAACATAGGTTAAGTTTACTGTAAATCTTATTCTTCCTGCTTTGGTGAAAATTAAATGTGAACAGTTAACTGGCTTTTCTCTACAACACTGTTTTCATATTTCTATTTTTAAATAGTCTGTCCTAGAGATAAACCTATTAAAACTATTTATAGTATCGCTTATATTATCTACCTGAATTCTTTTGTTTTCTATAGTAGATGACAACATGAGTAGTGGAAATCAATGACAGTTTTGAGAGAAAAAGCTATTTAGAAAACGTCTGAATGCATATACATTATACATATATCCTTAGTATTAGCCTAAGATTAGCTTCACTCACAGTAAATTATTATGATGGACATAAGTTCTAAGCGGAAACTAACACTATTTTGAATTATGTGTTGTTTTGTTTTCTGGTTTTATTTTCAAGCGGTATACGACATTATCCCCTAGTAGTCATTACTGCAGGTGATTTCTTCTTGTCATCTTGTGGCTAATGGAATGAGATGTAATAAGTATTGTCTACATGGTACTCATTGTTTTCAAAAAAATACTTTGAGTAGTAATCTACGTAAGATAAGTGTTGCCTGAAAACTATATTTGAGATTACTTTGTTTAGAAAACACAAACCGTAATACTGAAAGCCTCTGAGTAGTTGTAAATTTGAATTAAATTCTGTTATGTCACCATATAACCGGTTTGTGATTTGCTCTTAGGTGGTTGGAAGCAATCGGTCCGAAGTTCATTAACCTAGATTTCATGTTTGTTGGTTCTAGTCAGTAAGGCGTAATCGCAAGATTGAAGGAATTCACATCCCCTCAGAGATTCACACCCACATCACTGGCTGCTAAAGTTGCATATATTACTAATGAGCTTTTCGGATTTACGACTGAACTCTTGTAGGACAGAAGAAGCATGACACTGGTTACTCTCAAACGTGTTGCTTCTGACTAAGGTCAATCGTAGGTACGAATAACTTAGTAGTAATGTCTCTGACTGCTGCACCGGGTGACGTTGATTTAAATATTCGGGGGACATAAGTTCTTTCAAGGTTGCAGGTACAACTTGTTAATGAGCTTCAACAACCACGAAATATTGGTCAATGGCTTTCTGTCTACTGCCCCCAACCGCCTAAAACCTGTTCCAAGTACTCGACGAGGGCCAGTTATCCAGCTAAGCTACCATGTTGCAAATCCCAATCACAGAATTCAGTCATCATAAACAATAATGACTTGAAGCATCACAGTGATTACACCCTTCAGACCAAACAATGTAAATCTGTGACTTACGTTTCATTATTCTTAGCCACTTTTCTGCAGCAGTCAACATAAAAATAAGAAGAAATAACTATGTATATTTGAGTACAGTATGTCTTATACTTTTAGAATCAATACATTCTGAAAACAGTAAGATTTCACGACCTGTCATTCTTTTTGTTTTTAAACTTAAATTGCATGCGAAGTAAAACACGTGTTGTAGGTAAATAAGACATAAATCTATCTTACTAATTCTTTTTAAGTGTTTACATTGTAAACAGTTTTAAAATGTGGGCATTAAGGAAATATATTTTTGGCATATATTAACTTTACAGGGATATGAAACACCGTATTCTGTGTTGCGTTAGCTTTTCAATTAATTTTGGGAATGTTTAGCTGTTACGCAATTTCAGTTCACGTCAAAGATGACGTAAGCATAAGAAGTACTGAACTTTAAAAGCTTTAAGTAGGTATGAGTAAACTTCAGATGAAAATCCATTGTTTCCAAATTAACATATTCTCAAGAGAGATAAAATGACCTACTGAAACTTCCCACTGTGTGTTCCGGCAGATTTTTTCAACTACTCGTAGCAGTGAAAAGCTGGCAGATATGTCAACACATGACATTTAATAAAGAACTTCAACCAGCCTAGATCTATTGGTTTGTTAGTTGTTATGAATGATAAAAAAAACCAAGTATTACGTATGGTATATCTCACCTAACTTGAAATTTCTCACTCTTCGTCGCGTACAGAAACTCGCCTTATGTTAATTCAATTTGAGCACTGTAGCCAGTTCACTTAATTTAGCAGATAGTGAAAAACGAGTTACACCACTTGATTTACTTTTCAGTGCCATGAACAAAATGTTCAAGGAAAAATTCCTTCAGGATATTTTCCGCATGTAAATAAAATGTTTTTGTGATTCAATGTTGGACTGTCTTACGTGTTCCTATTAAATTTTGGAATTTTATTTTTGAGTAGAAGGTTCCATATATCTTATTTAGGTTTATTTCTCACGATTTTTATCACTTGTAGTGTGGCGTCATTAGTATGCAGAGGCAAGGAAATGAATTGATGACTTTAAATTCCCATATAAGTTTACATCACATTTCAGGTACTAGACTAAACGTAATCATAAGAAGGTTACCATAAGTCAGATACACTTGGTCATAAAAAGAATTTATGCTTCGTAATTCTTAAATATAGACGCAAAAAACGGAATTAATTTTTAATTAATTAATTTCGCTCAATACTCAAGATCAGATGGCCGGCCAGAAAAGATCAGCAACAGAGATCTCTGGGAGCGAACCAACCAGGAACCGATCGTGAAACAAAACCACTACCAACCATAAAACCAAAAAATACGCTTCATTTTATTTTAGATATAGGAACGAAACTGAGAAGAAAAAAATAGGACAAAAAATAATCATATTATTATTTCCTTTAATTCCTAGAGGAACATAGGGCTTCAGCTATGCGTCTCTATTGCGTTCGTTTCTCTGCTAGAGTTTTCACCTGCCTCCAAGTATGCCCACACGCTTTCATCTCCTCTTCACATGAACTCCTCCAAGTCACCCTTGGACGGCCAACTCGCCGCTTCCCTTCGGGTTCCACTCAAGCAATGGCTTGTCTAGTGATGTCACTTGATGGTTTCCTCAGAGTATAACCAATCCATCTCCATTTCTTCCTGCTTATTTGTTTCACAATTGGTTCCTGGTTGGTTCGCTCCCAGAGATCCCTCACTGGTGTTGATCTTTTCTGGTCATAATTATTCTTATTTTGAATAAAACCACATTAACAAAAAGGCGCTTTGAGGAAGATGACTTAGCAGTGATATACTGTTAAGCCGTATTTCATCAGATTGGATTCTTTTACCTGAATGAATAACTTCATCTAAGAGAAGGAAATTACATTACTACTTTATATTATTTATGGAATTAATATAATTGACAGACACAGTGACTTTGATTGAACACTAGTTAGTAACTAATGTCATGTGTCTAGTCATTTGTTTGGTGCAGACTGAGTTCGCGAGCACAAATAGTTCATTGGCAACGTCTCAGACTGAGGCACTAGGTGATACAGCTCTAAGTCTCAGAAGAGACATGAGTTCTTTCAAGATTGCAGATACATCTTGCTGACTGGTAAGTGTCGACAGGAACTAAACCTGGATTCAAGTCTCTCTGTCGATTGCCTCCATCCAGAATGACTAGAGTGACTGAATTTCAGTTATAGTATGCAGGAATTTTTGTTTTCCTTCACGTTCCCATTGGAACATGGGGCTTCAAGCTAGAGGCTTGAAGTTTCTGTAGCAGTGGTGATTTTTACAGGATGGGGTTGCTAACCTCATGCCCAATTTTTCCTCTTTGCCAGTCTTATTACTGGCTTAGCGAGGTAAAGGTGTGCGCCGGCCGGGGATCGAACTTCGAACCGTGTGCACTGTCGGCGAGCGTCCTAAGTGCTGTGCCACCAACGCAGGAATTAAGGACTTTTATTTCATGAATTAGTGACAATTAACACTCATTTATCTGCATTAAAATGTCGTTTACTGAACTCCTCAAAATTTTTTTATTTTCACAAAAAGAATATTTCACCTGATATGAACAATTTTGTATTGTAGACTTGTTGTGTCTGTACAACTTTACTTTTAACCTAAGACTTGACATCGCTTGAAAGTTTATGCAGAAAACAAAGGATCTAAATAACTTCATAAAAAAGAAGACTTAACAGCAAGGGAGATTTCTTATTGCATATGTCATACTGATTTCACTTAAAAACTATGAAGTCTTTACCGCCTCAATATCCATTTTTATACATTCAGGTTAAGCCATTTTCGCATATTTGATGTAATACTCACTACTATATAGTAGCCTCGTTTTATTCATTCTCTTCTAAATTATTTGTCTTCCTACATAAAACACTTTCTGGAATATGCTGCCATTATTTAATTTGTTTAAATGTATTTCCCTTTGGAAACTTATGTCTTTTTATAGCATTTGAAAATGAAAAAAACATTCTTTGCCATTTATTAAGTAACCTCAGCGTGAGCTTTCAGTATTATTCTAGTCAGTAGTTTCTCAGTCATCCATTTTATTTTTCTTATAGGTTTAACAAAATTATCTTTGTGTGATACAAAAACATTACAAACAGCTATTAATCGAAGTATTAAAAACAGGTAAGTTCTACTCTTGTGTACATGCGTGCAATAACCAACTGGTTATATTTCTTTTGGATTTCAGTATTTCACCGGGGAAGTTCTACTCCTCAAGCTTGATTGCATCACTAATAGTAATTCAGTTTTTAAGTGTTAGCCTATAGAGATTTCAGTGAGGCTAGATGATGAAGCGATATCGGTTAGTGATCCCTTGGAAATTACGGGGTACTGGACATATGTTTCATCCTAGTTTGGGACTATTTAGAGTTATGCAAGCATGACTTCATTGTGGCTATAATCCAGTGAGAAATCCTGACCAGTGGAATTCATCAAGTCGGATGTGAGGTCAAAAACTGCCTGACGACATTTGCTAGCGTTGGTGCTGTATATCGCGAATTGGCAGAAGTAAGAATTCTCGGGCTACCAGATTCTATCCCATTAATTGAATGGCCTTATAACCTGAATGTCCTGAGTTCAGTCCCTTGAGAGGCTATGGATGAAGACTGTAACCAGGATGAAAAATCTAGCCAATACTCTCTGGTTTTCAAACTTTCCTTAACTGACGGTACTTTGTAACCTCACTTGTAATAATTTCGTGGATAAACAAATTTAGTCAAGGATCTAACTCTTCTCAAAAAATGCTTTACGCATATTTTTTATTCATCGAGAAATATTTTGAGTTAACAAAATACAATTGATTATATTCCAATGATTACTTACTTCTTCAAACAGCTGACTTCTTGAAGGGCAACTAATCACGAGCGATAAAATTTACATTATTTGGTGGGTACGAGAGTACATTATCGAAGTGAATAAATTCTTTGTGACCAATTTTACGAATTTAGTTGGATTACTTCAAATGTGTAGTAACTCTAGAGTGAGGCATTATAGTAGTGTGAATTCAAGATAGAAATTCCCAGTTTTGAAGGTGATTAACAGCATCATCTTAATGAAATTCATTACAGTTATGGCTGATAAAAGTACAAATAATCAGAAATAAGGAGTAGTGGAATAACTGAGAGACCTAATTTGACTCAAGTCAATGAGCTAATGTTATTTATTCCTTGTCAGAAACTGCTTATAGCATTTAAGGTTAAAACTGACAACATCAGCATTTGATTTAAAGGCAAGTTGATGCATTTTATGAATATTATTCCTTTGGGTTCCAAGCAGAACATAGGGCTTCGGCAGCGAATCTCCATCTTTTTCTATTCTCTGCAGTCCTCTCTAGCTAGCGCCACAATCGCTTATAATCTTCCATCTCCCCACTCCCACACGATTTCGTCCATATCACTCTTGGTTGCTCAAATTATCGTTTCTCACTCACCTGCCTCTCCAGGACTTGTCGTGGGATGTCACTCATTGGTGTTCTTAGCGTGTGCCTTACCCATTTTTATTTCATCCTGCATATTTCAGGGCTATTGATTCCTGGTTGGTCCATTTCCAGAGTTCCTTGCTGCTAGTCCTTTCCATACGGCCATCTGATCTTTAGTGTGGAGCCGGCTAAGGCACCAAGTCTCTGAACCATAAAGTAGCACTGAATTGACGTTGCTATTAGAAATCTGAATTGTGTTCTTTACGCTGAGTGTGTAGCACATTTGTACGGTTCATAGTATTCAGACTGATATTCAACAGGCAACAGGATTACAATGTGATGAACAAATAAACTGTACTGAACACTTAGTGTTGATCAGTGGGCTATTCGTATTTGCAGTGATTATTATTTAACACCATAAATATTCCAAAAATACAGACTGGTGGAAAATAAAAGCTGCTTTTGGTACAACTGGTTACCCCTAAATGTATACTTAGGCAAGTATTAGTATTACAGGTGAAACTTTAAAAGAATTCAATATATTACTTATAGTAGGCAGACTATGATTATGAAAGTTTTCGGTCTAAATATTTTCGGATCGCCTGTGTTTATTATCTAAAAAATTTCCTTATGGTAGTGGATTTATTCAAATAAAAGTAAACAAATTGTTAAAAAAGATTATTCATTGAATTCGCTAAATCATCCAGAAGGCGATTACACTGAAATTTCAGAAGTTATTACACTGACATCAGAACGATTGAATTATTACTTTGGAAGCGGTCGCATTAAAAATATGAAATTTCTACAGACTTTACGTGTGTCTATGAAAAAAATAGACGAATACAATCTATCTGAGGTTTGCTGTGCATAAGGTGAAACAGATATTAGGCATTCTGACTTCACATATTCCTTTGTGCTACATTTATATGAAATCTAACTGAAGAAAAGCTGCTGAAGTAAAAGAAATACCAACCTAGATATGGTTTTTCTGTTCTCAGCATTCCGTGTGAAAGTTTCAGTTTCTAGGATCAAACCTACTGCTTTTCAAGCTAAGAGAGCTTTAGGATTGAGTTGTCCGTTAATTGAACCTTAACCTCCTGTGTGGCTAATGAGCATTCTGTCACTGACAAACTGACACATCAAAGAAGCAGTCTAATTTTGTATTTGTATGATATAAACAAATTCATCTGCTAGTTTTACATAACGTTAGTTGATAGAGGATACATTATTATGCCACTGTTAGCACAAAACTAATTATATGTGCGATTCTCTTATTACGATATCCGTATCTGAAAGAGTCTGTGTTTGAGATTTGTATTACTTTAATTTTGGCAATTTCGTTTCCAGGACTATAGCTGCCAATCATGTTCATGAGAAAAGCAGTCGAAGTCACGTGATTTGTACAATTTATTATCAAGAGGTGAGTTGTTTTTTGGTGGGGAGTGTGTATTGTACTTTCTTTTAGGATATTTCAGTATGCAATGAATCCTTATAATCTAGTTGTATAGTTGGTTTGAGAATTTCATACTTACTGCTGTCATCAGTGTTGTAAAATCAGCTACTTGACAAAAACTTCTTTGATAGAGTTTTTACAACTGTTGATGATTTACTTGTAAAACAGATTTATACTGCATCTTCAGTCTTTATTTACTAATAACATTATCACTATTACTACTGTAACTCTTTCCATGGGTTCAGGAAGGAACATAGGGCTTCAGGCTCACATATCAATTGCTTTCTATCCTATGACATTATTTATATCTGGCTCTATAGCTGCCTACAAGGTTTTGGCTCTTCTCCACATGATACTCTTCATATCGTTCTTGAGTATTTAACCCATGAACTTCCTGTTCAGTTTCCACTCAAAGACCTCTCTGTCGCTCGAATGTCTCTTCAGCATATATCCAGTCCATCTCTGTTTCCTTCCACATATTTGTTGGTTAGGGGGTTCTTAGCTGTCTGGTTCACTACCAAATTTCCTTGTTGTTTATCCCTTTGGGCTAGCCATCTGATCTTCCGTATAGAGTGCAGAAGGGAAGGTATTGATGAAAGTCTGTATCAGGCTGTTGAAAATGCTTTTCGAGACACACACAACAGGTTTCTGAACCGTATACAAACAAGGAATTGAAATTATTGTTAAAAACGTTACATTTTTTATGCCTCTCAAGTGCTATGGATCTCCACACTGATTTCAAAGTAATGAAGGCGTTTTGCTTTCTTCATTGGATCCAGGTTGCCTGTGACATCTTCATTTGTGACTCCACTTATTCAGACCTTGCTGTCCACGTATATGAAAGAGACGAATTCTTTTAGGTTTGATCCACTGAAGGTGATTGGTGTATTTTATTGTTAGTTGGGCCTCATACACTTTACACGTTGTCAATCATTTCATTTTTGTTAATAACAATAAGCGTAAAGTTATTGTAGAGAAAGAGAGTACAAAATGATATCTAATAATATTGGCCTTCTGAACACTTATAATTACTACATATGCTGAACATGAATGAAGAGAATACTTTTAATGTGCTAGAAAGTCTTTTAAACATGGTTTCTTTTGTAAATTATAGATCCGATCTGGCATTGATTTTCCTAGAACAATAAACAGTAAACTCTGCCTTATTGATTTGGCTGGAAGGTGAGTTGAAAAACTGAGCAAACTTATCACTAAATGCTTTTTATGCACTTTGTCAGTACTTTTATAAATTTCTGGTATTTTTTCGTTTCCACTGTTTAAAATTTCCACATTTTCCCAATAAAAACGGTGTCTATAATCATCTACATGCATCAATATGAAGGAAAACATATCGTGTTTTTCTACAGATAATTTGTGTTACTGGATTCTGAGTTGAGGGGAACACCACTACGGATGTAATTTATCAACTAATGAAGAATCAACCAAATGACAAAAAGTCAATGTAAATGGTCGGTAAAGTTGTAAATTAACAACCAATCACGACAAAAGTTATCAGGATAATCAGTTCACCTCATATTGAAGCTTGCCCTGAAGACTTTGTCTAGAATGACAATGAAAGCTTCGCAATTAAATCAACCAATTCAGAGAATACAATTAAGTAAAATTCATTCATCTTAGCTACAAGTCATCCCCATTATTTTGAGGTGGAGAGTGTACCGTACACTGCTTTTCGTTTGAAATATTTCTGTAGTTAATAGCGAAGAAAAGTCAAGACTCAGTAACTCTGCATATAAGTTAAAGTCCCTGAGTCTAAGTTCACCAGTCATGTAGAGCAGAGAGTCTGAAAATATGGGACATAAATCACGGTAAAGTATTAGTAGGTTCATATTTACGAAATGTATGACCAAGAACACTCAAATGAGAAATATGACTCAGATGATAAATCATAATAGTTATATGTAACACGGGTAACATGGTGCAAGTATTAATCATGGGTAGAATGCTTGATTACCACAGATGTCCTTTGATTCCTGGCCAGTGTCTTTCTAAACCTCACCTAGCCTCTTATAAGCCTGGAAAAGAAGAGATGTTGGATGTTAGGATAACAAACCCACCCCATGGAAACAACAACACCATTACTATGACTTCAAAGTTTAATGCTTGAAGCCGTATGATCCAGTGAGAGAGCGAATGAATGAAAAAACGCACGTTTAACAATAATTTGTTTTTCCTGTTTTCTGTGCCTGTTGCAGTGAACGAGTAAAAAATCTAAACGATAGGAAACGTTTCACCGAAGGCAGAAAAATCAATTTATCTCTATCATCCTTGAGCACAGTTATTGGGAAATTAGGTATGTTTTGATACATTTAATGTGAGTAAATAAATAAATTCTTTTAACTTACGTAACAGGTACTGTTTTGTAATGAGTAGTAAAAATAACCACCTTCAAGCAACAGCTTAACAGGAACATTGCGATAAGGAAATTATGATGAATACATGATTGGAGTCAAAAAAGCAATTGTCACCATAAATAAATAAATGACACATTGATGGGCATAGTAGTAGCTCTTCTCATAACTCAAACGGAAACCACTGCAAAATCCATACATTAAACACGTAGTCATTTAGACCAATCTCAGAAACAAAATATCCATTCATTAGTAAGGAACAACGTCGAGAAATACATAAAATATCACACAAACGAAATCAGGCCGAAAAAATTCTAAACTCTTCACTAACAAATTCTTCTGTAAACATATTTTGGCATTATTCCAAACAAATCAAGTTTTCAAGTTAGACCGCCAACTGACATCACTTAAAGATCTATCGAAAACTAAAGAGTACTGTAGAAATGTTGTATCGTAGTTTATGCGTCTTCAACAGTGCACATAAGGAGTCGAACCCAGGACATTTAGGCTACAAGGCTAGTTCATCGGTCACTAAGCTAACGGGAAGCAGTAAAACGGTTTATGAATTCCAACCTTTGTCATTTCGTGATATATCGCCACCACTAGTCAGTGTTGTTGGCGAGTATTTATGTCTACACCCGACTTGGTGTACCTTACTGGTCATGACTTCTCACTTGAAATACAGTCACTTCATCTATAGTGAGTCATTAGTGAGGGTTAGACTAATTTTTAAGGGTTGGTCCTCAGTGTTTTGATCGATTTTAACTTATGACACGAACTGACATTGATTAGTTTTGAATACAGAGTATTTCGGAAAAACAGAGTAATCGAAGCACGCGTTTTTATAAGAATACACACTTGCTTAAAATACGCTAGCAGTGAGACAGCGAAAGTTTTCTGTGATGAAATACATTTATTGGAATTTAATTCATTAACCCCATTCTCAACAACCTCATCAAATAGAATTGAACACTAGGAATCTAGAAGTCTGCATACTTGCACTACTATACATCAGCAAATAAATATTATCAAGTTTTCAAGTATTTGAGTTTCGTCAATCGTTTTTATTCGTCATTGTGGTATAATCTATTTCTTGTTAAATCACTATCAGATATAAGCAGATTTGGATCTCTTGTTCATTCTCAGAGATGTAATAATCAGTGACTCAAGACCTTATTTACCGTCGAACCTACATTATGTATACCCTAAGTGTGGCAACGTGCTAGGAAGCTCTGAAAGGGTAACACTAGAAGTGAAAGATCTTAAGTTTTTACGGCCCCTGTAAGCAATGTTGTAAGCAGAATCTGTATTCTAGTTCATTCTTAATCTGACACAAAATTCAGTCTTCTTACCAAGCTTGCAGGAAATATTCACTTGTTTTAGTGGTGATGTATATTTTCTTTTAGGCAATATGATTGTTAGAAGCTAAATGGTAGTGGCAATATCCAGAAGAATACTAATTAAAATCAGTTGAATAGTAGTAGCATTTTCATACAAGTACAAAAGTAGGCTGAAAACTTGAAAAGAAATTATTATCTAGTGTTTGTGAAAATTACCTATGAAGATTTTTATCCAGGCTTGTCGAGAAAAAAAAACAAGACTGTCAAATACTCTTGTAGACAGTGATAATGTATAGTTTCTATGTACTTCATTGCACAGAAAGATGTAGACTCATAGATATGTATTAAGATGTCTAGAAATGATATCCTATTTTCAATGTACTGAAATAATACCTCTATTTTGTTATTACAGAATGAAATTCTTACTAAAATTGTGTTGGTTGTCTCCTTTCAAAGATTTTGATATGGAATTTTTGTGTTAACAATGCACTTAAAATACATGCAAACACTTCTTTTCAGAAGGCTTGGTGTTTGTTGCGTCACACAGATTTTACTCCAAATTAAGGTGTATATACATGTATATATATGAACGCTTAGCTTGTAGTACGACGCCATATATAACTATCAATTCACTGTCAGCTACATTTTTCAGACAGATTTTCCAGTTTCATAAGATTTAGTTCCTTGGTAAATATGGAATTACTTCTGAAAGTTAATCAACTACTCACTCCGTGTTTATTTTAATCTGATAAAGCCATTGGATATTTTTGTAAGTATCAACGAATGAAAAACTATCAAATTACGACTGCAACACTTATGCTTCTAGTCAGTAATCTCATAGTACTGATTTTGAAAAAGGAACAAGAATTTTTCAATTTTTGTTTTTGTTATTTGTCAGATTTGATAAACGCAAAATTAATATTTATCCGTGTGATATTGATTTTTTTTTGTATAGCTGAAAAATCTTTAACCGATAACAATGATTTAGAGCTGACATTAAACAGTAGTCATTCAACGTTGAATAGTGCAAGAAGTTCTAGTACAAGACGAAGCAATTGTTATAGTACATTTCATATTCCTTATAGAAATTCTAAGTTAACTTGGCTTTTAAGAGATTCACTGGGTGGAAATGCACGCACTACAATGATAGCAAGTTAGTTTACTTCTTGTGTTAGTAGTTTTATGCTTCCCTACTTATATGAATATTTCTGCTTATAAAAATGTGAAAGATTTCCCATAGATACTTGAAGTATCAATAATATCCATGTGGTATAAATTAAAAAAAAAACATAAATCAGAAAAGAATATTATTTTTGGAACTTTACTTCAAAGCAGTACAGTTATACAGTATTCTAAAAAGGTCAGCGAAATGCCTTTACAGCCTATCTCTCATGTTAGTTAGTGAAAAGAGATAAGAACTTACATGTCAAGCAAAATAGTAGATTACGTAATCTAAAAATATTATGTGATAAATGTCCCTCAGCAATAATTGTCACTGAAATTACAAGAGCTTGGAATATTAAGACACCTAGAATATTTGTAAAGTATTTTTAAAGTTAGGAGTTTCAAAGTAATGAATAATAGGGAAAAAACGGAAGGAATATGGATTATTGTACAAGCTGAAAAAAGATAAGTTTAAGGCCAAAGTAACAGTAAGGATTTTGATAAACTGCTTCAGTTTGCACAGTTTAAGGTTTTTCCTGTATGTAATAGGGACTTTTGCAGCTGGAAACCTGTCGAAAGACTTCGTGTTACCATCTATACCAATCTGAAAGGCCTATTCACTGATGCGTAATGATTTGGGAAAACAAGGTGCTCAAGAGGTGAACTATTGATTTGTCTAATTTCTCCTTTCGACGACTTTATTAAGAGATGTTCTTGTGCGCGTCTAGATATTAACCTACTGGTACGGACTATATACTTAGCTGTAAAATAGCGAATGGACTGATAACATGCACAGTAAAACATTGTGTTTGACGCTTTGATGAATATGAGGTTGCGTGAAGAAGGTGAGACGTACAGATGCGACGAAGAATGTTTTTCGAACCACTCTCGATAATGTACTTTGAAGAATGTCAGCTTCTGTATCACCTTAGAATTTAGGGTTTACAACAAATTTTGTCTTTTGTGGATTATCCGTCTTACAATTCCTATGTTTATTGATGAATGCTGATGGATAACGATTCTGGATCGGAGAGTTACGGAAAGACGGCAGTCCTCTATTTAATGTTTCTTCTGTGTGCATGTGACTGATTCTTGTGAGAAAGGATTTGATGAGGTTTCATTTTATACCTAGTGGAAAAAAGGTGTAAAGATTAGGCAGCTGACTGTTTTATTTTGATTTATGGTGAGCGTATGAGAAGGAAAGTCTTCCTTCTGCAGTAAAACTAACTGATCGATGACTATTATTAAGTAGTTCCAGGAGTTTATTTAGATCAATATTTTCATCAGCACTGATGAAAATATCATCCATTTAACGCTTACAGACTCTGAATCAACTTAGTGCCGGTTGTAGAGTACTCAATTTCAGGCATACCATGAAACAGTTGGCAAGTACCTGGCCGTAGATAATTCGCCCTTCTTTTCGCTTTATATTATTTCTTTAAAGTTGTAACGACTGTTTGTTTTCACCTTTCATAACACACGTGATACTACTTTCTTAATTGCACATATATTTGCATATTCTAAACTATTCCATCTGTTTCACCATTCTATTTTTCCAGCTATATCCCCATCTTACAAACAATATCATGAGACAGTAAATACGCTACGTTATGCACAACAAGCAAAAATGATTACAAATTCACCCAAAGTGAATGAGGTAAATGACCAAATTAATATCTTTTGAATAATCAATTCAATTATTATTATTATTTTAGGATGAAAGTACTATTTACATTAGACAACTATTGAGTGAAATTACTGTATTGAAACAAAGATTACAAGAAAAAGAAACGTATTCCACAGTTCATAGGGTAAGTGCTTTTGGCGAAAAGTCATCTAAAATAACAACTTTTGTTCTTTACGCATTCATTACTTATCTTCATAAGCAGTAATAGATAAACCTTTGACTAAAAAATTACATACATCAACGTATTTCACTGTGAAGTATTTTAATGCTTTGAACTGTCTGTAGCGATTCTGGTGTTTTTCATTGGATGAGTTTCACCGTCAACCTTTCTACTTTTCCAAAATTACTACCGGCTTGCTTAAATCACCAGGCTACCTACCTAACTACCTAAATGGATCGTGTTTACTCCGTTTCATATTGTTTTAATCATACAATTATATCTAAGAATCGCAATGTATACTGAGGCACATTTTCAAATAGGTTTCAACCTACTACTTCAAACTGAAGGAGAATCACTGCAGATCACTGGAGCATGCCTTGGATAAAACAGTACCGTCAGCTTCATATATTATCGTTAATAATACTTGAAGATTATGAAGAAGAAGTAAATATCTTGCAATAAGAAACTAGCTGAAAATTCTGTAATGTGTATAAACTCATTTTTCAGAATAAAGCTTTTATTAGTAGTAAAGCAAGTGGTGGTTGAGCGCAGTGATGCGCTGCTGAAGTCTTGTGTTCCACTCAAAACGCAGAGAAAGAATAACAAACATATTCTTAAGCGATTCCTACACAATAAGTAAATCTTCTGTATTGGTAAATATAATCACTTGTGTATAAATATAATATGTTGCACTATTTTGTTACTCAGTATCACAGCGGTATCTGATATCACTTTATATAAAGCGAAAAAGACTGGGATTTGTTGAGGAGAATAAGCGTGTATAATTAAGTTTACGCAAGTCACATGTCACTTTCTTGAAAATGAATTCACAACCAAAAAGAATACCATGTTACTGCCATCAGTAACTAAAACGACACACAGTAATACGCATTTAATTCGATTATCACACAATTCAGAAGCCTTTTTGTCATGAAAATAGTTTGTAGGACAATGCAAACCAATCGTTTGTTGAAATAGGAATATTAAAGACTGATCAATCAACAGAGAATATTCTTTTCAAAAAATTCATCATCAGGTTCTATATTTATATGACAGTATTAATTGAAGATATATTTTTATTAACAACATTAATGCTGTTTTAAATTACACTGAATCAATATTATCAACAGATCACGTTTCAATAGCATAAGTAATAGAGGGATAATATGCATTAACATAATGCTGAACTAAATATCAGATAGATAAAAGGAAATAATACACAATTTATGAATTTATAGACTCGATACAAGGTCAGCATAGCAATAGTGCTATTACACACAGAGCTGTGGTTGTTCTAGGCGAACTTTAATGGCCTCTGCTGTTTGGAATGTTCGGTACCTAAAAGCCTCTGTTAATGCATGCGATGCTCACCAAGTAGATGATAGAAATTCTTCAGTGTTAGCTTTGTGGTTTGTTTGCACGAGGTATGACTGTTGACATATTTAACAACGCCTTTATTGAACCGCACTGGTAAGTGTTCTCAAACACGAATAGCAAGGTTCCTAGAGAAACGGACAATATAAGTGACTCCAAGAAAGCAGTTGAAACGGTAGATAGAGTCTCAGTCAGACTGTTTCAAATTAAATGGCTTCCTGTCGGACATCAGTCAGTGGTCTAAACTAAATGGCCTCATGCTGAATCCCTCAGACTATTGACTTCTCCTTTGAGCATATATGAGATCTACGAACACTAGTAAGTACTCATGAAGCCTGTTGCATTGAGGGGACTAAAATTGAAACTAAGTCTAATACAAAATACCTTGGTCTAGTTCTATCTTCCGACCTTACTTGGACATCTCATATCCTAACGATTTCTAAGGAAGTGTTCTGCCTAACCTACTGCATTAAGAAACTTAGACAATCTGGAATCACCCAGCCTCTACTTTCACAATTTGTCAACTCTTGTATCTTACCTATTCTACTTTACTGCTCCCCGTTAGACTTTCCTGGTCTACTGAAAAAGGAATATACCATCCTGAGAAGGATGTTGAAGGTAGTTAGTAGGACTAGTGGTGTAAAACTCAGTCAGCTCGTCACTACTTTAGTTGATAGGCATCTGAATACATGCGAAAAATGGTCTAAAATCATACTCTCCGACCACCATAACCCCCTCTATTCCCAACTCTCGCCTTGTATCTCATCAAGTAGAACCAGAAATCAGTATAAAATAATCTATGCTCGTACAACCAAGTAGAGGAACTCAACGATACCATATTTGGCCCGTGTTCTAAGTGACACAGACAATGTTAAGCGCGAAACCTATGACTTGCTTTGTTATTAACAACATAATTTTTTGCTCTTTTATTTCTCTCTTATTTTGTATTCTATAGTGAACTCCTTCTTAAACATACTTAGCTACCTAAATTATTAACATTGGCTTACTTTTTTGTATTTTACTCTATTCCTTCATTTGTGTATCTACTGGTTCCGACTATATTAGCCCTATGAGTTTTACAAAATTGTCCTGTCATTAAACATCATATGATTATTAGTTTTTGTGGTTGTTGTTGTTTTTTTGTTCGGCAATATTAACTGACAATCTTGGTTGTGAAAGCCATTGTCACCACCTAAAATTTTGTATAATACAGGATTACTCACACTACCACTACAAACACCGCATTATACCTGATAAAAAACAACCCTGAAATGTTATTTCACTGATTGTTTAGAGTTGTTTGAACCAAATTAACTGATCTTCTTGGTGATAAACATTCTTAAATATCATTTCATAACTTCTTGTATGATTATAGCTTTACTGTCACCATGCATAATCATATCATAGCTTCCACTAACCAATACTGAGATATTATTTTATGTTGTTTATCTTCCTTTCTACTTCTTGGTATTTTTTTTCGCATTTTTTATTATTTTGTGTTTGTTTATTTTGTTATTGTTGTCTTTATATTTATTTTTTGAAATACTCCTTGTGCGTCGGTGGCACAGTGGTTAGGACTCTCGCCGACCATGCACATGATCCGGGGTTCGATCCCCTGCCGACGCACACCCGATATCTATGGTCGGTCTGCAAAAGTTGGGCTACCGATATCCATGCTGAAAATTCCATACTTGTACTGAAAATACGGTGTGGCATCAAGCTGTAACCAAAATAAAAATAAAAAAATAATAATAATGTTTGATGAAATTAGATGCAAATATTGTAGATATGTGCTGAAAATTCCACACTGATCCACTAGTACTGTTTCTGGAATAAAGCAAATTATTACTATTAATTAGAAGTGTCTAGCCCAGATGCTTCATCTTTAAGTTTCAGATTCACAACCACTTGTGTGGAAAATATAAGCTGCAGCTTATAGTAATGAACTCTCAATGTAGTATTTAAATTGGCAGGAGTTAGAATTCATAGGCCACTGGACCAAGTCTCAGTAGCATAATGGTCTACAAGCTCGCCTTGTAGCCAGAAGGTCCTGGGTTCGAACCCCAGTGGGTGCGTGCTCCTAAGGAGTCCCAAGCTAAGACAAAATAGCTGTCCAGTACTCCCTGCAGGTTTTCCAATGGTTCTCTAACTGATGTCAGCTCATGATGAAATCCTCCAACCAATAAAACGAAATCCCTACAAAACTAATACTTGGAGTTTTTAAACACATGTTAACACTTCGAAGTTTCCACTTTCAAATTTTCAATCAACTAGGTTAATAATCAAACTACTAACAAAATGACACAATTTCTTTGAATTTAATCACTTCAAAACTTCAAAAGTGTGTTTATCAAATTATATTTCCTTTATGCCTTTTAAATATTAAGTGCATAATCAACCTTTTCTTTGTTTATCTTTCAAAAGTTTCTGAATTACTATCCGAGATCAATTAAACGTCGACCACTGCTTAGAAAATCCAGTTCAGAAAGCTGTGTAGGTTCATGTATTGTATTCTAAAATAATAATTACATTTTTTTCTTTGTTGATATGAGTTTCTAATTGGTTGATGCAATAGATGTAGTAGTGTCCTTATAATTCTTTACATTATTTTATACACAGGCTGCACAACATAATAAGAGAGTAAGGTTATTGTCTTGTAAAGTACATTTTAGTGATAAGTAGAACCATATTTTTAGGGTATTTTTGTTATTCTTCTTCACTTTCAGGTGAACCAGTACCCATTTGCTGAGAATTTTGACACATCTCAGTATTCCAAAGAAGAAATCCGACATTGCGAGTCTGAAAGATATCCAAAACACACTCCTGGTATGTAAGAAGTAGATTTTTACCTCTGTTATGTTTTATTTTAAAAATATTAACACAAACAATTTCATTAAAAACACATAATTTTACATCGGATTACCAACTTGTTCATTGCTTTTATTATTTCATACATTTGGTTCCCTTCATAAATTTTGATAAAGACAGGTAGTTCGCAGCTTTTATTACTTTTTTTACCTTAGCTTCATTTAACTTATTCTTAATTGAACGAGAAAATTCTCATATTTAGTCATAAAAGAAGACGTAACAGTGATGAAATAGTTTTCTACAAGTCAATTTTTTAAAAACTGCACAATCATGTCCATATTCAACAGAACAATTCATAAAACCAGTCAAATACTGGTAATTATTTAGACTATGGATTGTGTTGGAATTCGGATTAATTTCAGAGTAGTCTTCATCAAAAATCAATATCAATTAGTGAATCACTGAGAACTAGGGAGTACTGGACAACTGTTTTGACCTAGCTGCCGACTCTACAGCAGTTCGTATTCACAACTCTAGCAGGAATCAAATCCAAGACCTTCAGGTTAAGAAATAAGTCCGTTGACCATACAGAAGTGGATCCTCATTGAAAGCACTGTTCAGCTGTACCACTATATCATGAATCGACAAAATTAGAGTTCACGGGTTTCAGAATGTTAGTACGAGTGGCCGAATGGTCAACCAGCTGACCTCATAATATCCAGGTTCTGGGTACGGACGCCGGTAAGGCTATGGGTGTGTACTGTTGAAGAGTTCTAAACTGATATTGACTCGAGACGAAATCTACTGGTAAATGTACTCTATAAAGTGTTTCGTGAAATGTGATGATTAATCTAGAATAGTGCGCACGTGGAAAATAAGAAAAGAGACATTGTATTAAGTGGTACTTGTAAAAAGTGGCCCTAAGTGACCTGAATTCATAAAAATGGACATTGTAGTGAGTATACAGTAAAGTGGTTCAATGAGATCTGTAAAATGAGAGCAATGCTGTTAGTAAACAGTAATGATTCTGGCGGCCGACCTGAATCACTGAGCTGCCTGAATTTCCATCCAACAAAATACAGAGATTTCCTTTATTTCTAATTGTTTTAACCATGTCTTCGTGCACATTTCTCGGGGATGAAGACAAAATATTATGCTGGATTAGTCTATCTTTCTGATTATAAAGCACTGCTTCACATTGCATATTATAAATTGCTATTTTACTTAAGGATCTTAGATGAAGGGAAACTACGCTTAGAATTCTGTACATTGTATAGACGCTCATCAGAATAAGGCTGCTACTATTATTATCATTATTATTTTAGAAATAATGATAACAATGAAATAACTATAATTATAACAGTAATTCCTAATCAAAAATTAAGTGATTGATTAAACTTAGACAACATAATTGCTTAAGTCGTTGACACTCCAACTGACTGCTTTAGGGTTACACGAAAAGTACTGAATTAATTAAGGTAAATAGGTAAGTAAAATGCGCAGTATCACTTGAATTTTATTAACGCTTTTATTAAGAAGTTATCGACCAATTTAGATGCAAATGGTATTATGAAACTCAGAATTTCGAAAAAACTTGTTTTCTCATCGTACTAGTTCTATCATATCTTAACCTTCGAGATATTCAGCACAACAAGTATGCTTACTGGCGTCAAACACTTACCACATTTCTCGACCTAAAGGAGGCATTTGACTCCGTCGACCGAGAGGCAATGAAACTATGTTAAGCGGTGATGAAGTGCCGAGAAAGTATATCCTACTAATCAGGTTACTCTACTGGAGTTCACCCAGCCATGTAAAGGTTTACGCAGAATTTTCATCTGAGATGATGGCAACCGGTCATATCAGTTAGCGAAGCAAAATGTCTCCATTTTTAAGTAATTTCACCACAGAATACTAATGCGTATGACTCTAACTGTTTTTAGCAAATGAGAGATTGACTTACTACCTGTTGCATCGGATTTAATGCAATGATTGTTGACGAAGCCTTGTCATGGATATAAGAATCCCCTGCAGCATTCTCCAGCTGATGTTTTTGCAGGCGTGAACGTGATATCCAGCTAGCTATCAAACAGCGCGTGTGCGCCGTACCAGTTCCCCTGTCCTCTTTTATGCCTGTGAGACATGGTCATTAAAAGTGGATGAATTGAAGAGATCAGCTGATTTTCCCCTCTACCTTCTGTATTATGTGGTATAATAATAACACTAATGCGCTTTGTCGTAGAGTGTTAGGTAAGAATGCTTTGTCATTAGATGAAGTTGTGGAGCTGAATCAATTGAGAAGAATCAAACATGTGTTAAGCATTTCAAGTCTTCACTTTTCTCCTTATGTGTGCCTTTGTGAAGTCAGGCAATATAAACTTCTGCATTTTTGTGCAACATTTTACTTTGAAAATCCAGTTCAGGTAGTTTATCTGATTTACCCCAGAGTAGTTACCGTTAGTCTTTGTCACCTCAGTCGCTATAATCACTACTATTGTTTAAAATGAGTAGACGTCATTTCACTTCCTTCTACTCAATTATCCAAACGTATCGTCGAACAATAACCCTCACGGTTTAAAAAAAGAGGAAAACGGTCCCCCCGAAGCTCTATTCTGGGACACCTGATCGAACCGGAGCATCAAACAAACTCACAAAGTAACTTCAAAATCATCTACAGAATACTTGGGAATCTTGCTAAAAGAGTATGAATTAAACTTCTTCAAACCGCAGAAGCAATGGCAATTCACATATTAAAATCTGAACTCTGCATATAAAAGAAGTTTGTTCAGTTATTAAATCTATAGTGGACCTGACCTATCTTAACAACAAATATGTAATTTTGTTTCGTCTTTTTTTTGCTTGTTTGTTTCTTATTTGTATAATACTTTCCCCCAACCCCTTATTACTACTGTTGTTAACTTGACTTTTGTTCAATTCCAATTTTAGCTGAGCTCTACTCAACCTTGTCAATTAGATTACGTCACTCAACTTGCTTATTTAATCTTACTTTAGTTTCTAACCCATTAACGAAATTTGTTATCTAAAACTTACAATTCTAATAATTTTATTTTAGTTTCTACCCGATTAACGCTTTCTATATTACGTAATTTGGTAGCTAATATTTACAATTTTAATGACAAATCCTTGAAATATTCATTTTTTGCTGGGAAAATTACCTGTATTACCGGTTTACATTATTTTTTTTCACTCATAAGTACGTAGTTTTGAGCAAAGATATATATAGGATGTTCATTCTTCGAATGTGCTTGTTTTATATTTCAGATATACTTACCACATCCTACAGTGAATACAAACAAATATGTGATCTTCAAATTTCTCAAAACGATGTCAAGGTTAGTTATCATAACAGCATATATATATATACCCTAAAGTTATGTTAATCAGGATTAGATAATTTATTCAAGAAAGGTCCTTATCTGGATTATTATTTTTTAAATGAGGCCATTTTCGTTCATTCTAGCACACTTAAGCAAAAAGGAAGAATTCGAAATATTTATCTAAACAATATTGAATATTTGGCTGAAAACGTTCAGATTAAACCATCCAATAAGTTGATTAACTGTTAGATTTCATTTACACAAGTATTCAGTCAAATCACATTTGTTAATCAACTGGAAACACTGAATATATTTTTGGTGTTGTTATTGTTTGTGCTTTTTATCATTGTTTGTCTGTGGTGATTTATTAAAGTGAAGCAGATTGAAATGTGTATATTTTGCCTGTAAGTTGAATATAAGAACAAAAAGATCATAGATAGCCTTGATCAATATACTTTTGTTTAGGAACTCTTTGTGGTTATGGCTTCATTGATTCCTTAACTAAGTAGTGTTAAAGGTGTCACCAAGTCTGATGATAAAATATCCATGGTCGAATATCAAAGCTTGAAGAAAATTGAATAATTTCCATTGATGGCTCGGGCTACAAATCTTGTATTTTATTTAAGATAGTGTCAGTTTACTTTTTCCTAAGCTATATGACGCTGGTTATCGTTCCTACAAAGATAGCATCCGCTTAGCCGTAAAGTCGTTTGTTAGGAAGTGGTGCAGACCAGTTTGCGACATAGTTCAATTTCTACCTGACTTTTAAATGACAGCTAGCGATTTCATTAAGAAATCGATTTTGTATTTCTGCACTATCAATTCGTAGTGTAATTATGGGATGATTGGATGTCTCTGCTCACATTCTGAATTGTATGCGATGATCTTTATGTGCCTTTTCACTATTCAAGTAATATTCACCAGTTTGTTTTATTTTCGTTTATATTTACCAAGGACGATGCTTTCACAGTTTACCATGACTTGATTTTTTTCATTCATTTGGATTTAGGATGGTATTCTTTGGTCATCTTTGTACGATGTCTTCATCAAAACTTCTCTCGAAATATATTTCTTTTCTTTCCTGTCACTAATAAAATTCAAAGTTCTGATCTTAATTTAGTTAATTTTTTTAGATAGTTTGTCTATCCACTGATAACATTTTCGTACTTCCCTTGACATACATGACTGCACATTTTTTCCTCAATCTATTCAAGGCTTAATGATAATATACATACTCATGAAACGTCACCTGTTTTACCAGCTCGCTGGTTTTCTAGCCGGTACTAAGTCTGGGAAAAGAAGGGAGGATGGGAGTGGGGTGAGCAGACCTACTCTGGAAAATCAATCCAGTCACTACAAAAACTTACAGGCGCAGCAAAAATATAAAAAACAAAATTATTCTTTGCTGGAATCGGAGGGACCAGATAAAGCGGGCTGATGAAGGCATTCAGGAAACCAGTCTTCTTTCGATGAAAGCAGAGATGAACGTTAGAACATGAAATATTCATACAATGTACAAAGCTCAGAAGGCTGCTCAAGTTGCCAAAGAAATGAGAAAATATCACACGGAAATGCTGGGAATCTGCGAGAGCAAGTGGACTGAATATTGACTATCGAAATTGTTAACTGGAGAGTCAGTAATCTACTCCAGTCATTCAGATGACAACCACGAGCACACTGAGAGAGTATCTATCATGATGTCACTGGCAGTAACCAAAGGTGTTATGTAATGGAAACCAGTCTTCTCCAGGTTAATGACAGAAGGAATCGACTCCAAAGAAAGGAAATTTACAATTATCCAATGCTACAAGCCTACAAAAGACTCAGATCTAGAAGAGTTGGAAGACTTCCAAAGGCGACTACAGACAGTGGTGGACAAGACACCAAATAGCGATATCAAAATCCTAATGGATGATATAAGTGTCTGATGATAACAAATATTATTAGTTTATTTTGCGGATATTTTGTATTGATAGTAACATCCTTCAATTATAAGTTCTCCCTTAGAGAATTTTACCCCATCTTGTAAATCTACACTCTGTAAATCTGCAACCATTCATTACCTCTCTTACACATATATTTGAAAGGCATATTATCTCCCGTAAACTTGTCGTCAATTGATGCATTCGAAGCTAATATTTGTTCTGAGTGAGGAATATCAAGACAATCAGAATACTCTTAAAATTTAAGGGTTTCAACTGCCTGTATTAAAGTATTCATTGAAATATTTTGGAAGGAAATTTAGATATTTATGCAATCGTGTTTTGTAGAATTCTGTTTTTTTAGCTTTGAATTTTTTTGAGGTTGACCACGGATTGATATCAGTTAGAGGGCCATTGAAAACCAGTGAGTACCGGAAAGCTGTTTCATCCTAGTTAAGGAATCATCTGCAGTACGCACCCACCACCATGGTTAGAACCCAGGACCTTCCAGTTACAAAGCAAGCCCGTATACCATTTAGACACTGGGACCCGATTCACTGACTAACCCATGAATTCTAACTTCAACCAATTCGTGGTTTTAGCGCAACCATCAACCAATGTCATCGGTGGGACATCCATTCTCACACTTGACTGGATGCACCTCACTGGTCACGAATTCTCACTAGAACTCCAGGAAACTGATATCAATCCGTAGTCAAACTCGTGAAAAACAAATCTAATCCTCACAAACCAACTCTTGAAAATAGCTTTGAATTGTTTGCAGTATTATACTTGACCACAAGTGTCAATTTTCTTTGTAATTCTAAATCAAGTTAATGCTACATTTTATTGTGTCACTGTCAAAAAGTCTCAGCTTTATTTAAAATAAGAAGATATTTGCAATCAGGTATATACATCCTGAGGTAATTATGGTATTTTAATTTTTTTGTCGCATCAGTAACTTTAAAACTATATGGATTTCATACAACTATCAATCTTTATTTTGATTGGACACTAGTAACTAGTGTGACGTGTCTAGTCCTTTCTTTGGTGCAGATTGAATTCTATCAGCCAGGTTTGCAATGTGGCCACCATTCTAGGTAGCTCGCTATCACGGTGCACATTGATTCGATGATATTAGATAGTTGGTAACGTCTCTGACTGCAGCGCTGGATGACGCGGGTTCGAATCTCAGAGGGGACAAGAGTTCCTTCGAGGTTGCGGATACGCCTTACTGATGAGTGCCATCCAGCACGAAACCTAGGTGCAAGGTTTCCTGCCGATTGCCTCCAACTGTCTAATATGTGTCGTTATATTGTAATCTATTAAATATTAGCTTAAGCAGTTAAATAAATACACAGTTTACATCCCTAAATTGAAAATATAAGTCTTAACCTTTTCGATAAACTTTTAACTAATAATTTGATGAAAAATTTTCAACTGCAATTTGCACTTCATAATCCGTATTTTGTACTGACCTCATAAATACACTAACTTTAAAACCAGTGTAGTGCTAGTAGAAATAAACAACACTGTGTTAATGATCTGCTAAGCTTAAAGCTTCATGCTGATTGGCTAGTAAGTCTAACCAATCATCTGTGAATTATAATATTTCTGATCATTTGTGTTATAGAAATTAAACACTTATTTAAAATGCTGTGTAAATTCTTGCTAAATAGAACTGTTATTCTGTTATTATAGAAGTCATTTTTAACAGTTTTCTTTTTCTCAGTAAAAATGTGATTTCAGTGATTTCATTTTACCTTAGTTTGTTTCATTTTTGTGAATAATGAATAAGTTGTCATGATATTACAATACAGCTTATTTAAAACTTCAAGTTTATACTCTCATGTTAATCGTCTATGCATTAGTTTATTTTTCCTTAAGAATATAAATTCACCCTTTCCTTCTATATCATTTTATTCATATTTTATGAAATGTGTATGTCAAAAACTATCTCATTATGAAAACTATCATCATCATCTTTATGAATATGTTATATGCGACTACCAGCAGCAACAACAACCGATTACATCGGATCAAACAACACAGACTAATTATTCAGAAGAATATGGTAAACTCTGTGTAGAGTATTTACAAAGAAGTAGAATTATTGATTCATCATATTGTCAACTGAACAGGTAAGATAATTGTGATAATTACATTCAACAAATTATGTATTTTAAATGTTATGTGTTGCTGAAGCGAACTGCTTTGAAAATGATGTTTTGGCAGAAAATAAACTTATGATAATCACCGGGGTCGTGTTCTCTGAGCTGTCTAATGTACTGAACCGACCACACCAATATTATCTATTTGTCTTAATACCTTATTCAGAAAAAAAGACAATTGATTATAATTTGAATAAAGCAAGAACAACAGGTTTTGCAGAATAATATGGTACTAACATCGATTATTTTTTACTGGCTTCTCATCAGCTGCTGACAGGCTAAATAAATTATTAAGTTCATGTACAGAGACGTTTCAACATACTTGCAGATTTTGCATGATGTCAGTTGAAAGTAGGTGAACAGTACTCAGAAAATCACGCTTTTATAGTTTCTACACAAGCAGTTCAAGTTTAAACAAAGTAATGTATGCATACAATGCTAAACGAGTTACGTAATAAAGATGAGAGATGCGTAAGATAACGAGTAACTAATACGTTGGGTAACGATGTACTGAGTTAAATTCAAGTCACAGAAACAAGAGACAAGCAAAATTACACTATATTAAAGGGGTGCGGGTGCGGTTAAAGTCACAGATTATTTATTCAAATGAAATATAGAGACAGTGAAGATATCCAGTTAGCAGGTGGTCAAGGAAAGACTGCTGACAATTGCTTCTTTCTGATCACATAAATCGGGTTTCAGGCGTTTGAAGACAACTGAGTTTTTTTTCTTCTGATAATTTCAAAGGATTTTGCGATTTCCACCTCACGATCCACACAAGGAGATGTCTGGTAATAGCACTATTTTAAGCGTTTGTTCCCCTGAGACTTAGGCTTTTTGCTATATGTTCAGAAAGTTGGAGTTGTGCCTTTCTTTCTGCTCCCCCAATGTAACTGCCCCCCTGCTTTATCCAGATTCATAAAAGGGAATAAATGTATGAAGTTTCTGAACAATTAATTCTCTTGGTGGTAAACAAAAGTGAGATTTTGAGATGTGCATTTCAACCCACTTTCATATCATCAGTACAAAATTTCAACATCTCATTGTAAAGTGTTGCTGTCACTCTAGTACTGGAACTTTTCATCAGTCACTTCGAATTTTTGTTCTCCATTTACTAGGATTCTGAGTTGTGAGAGCTTAACGTTTTCTCTAGAGATACCACATAGCCAGCATTCGAAGTGCATACAGGAGTATGACAAGGCTGCCCACTACTATCACCGATGATATTCTTAATTGTGATGGACCGGATCATGAGCCAGACTGCACATGGCAATGAGAAGACTGGAATACCCTAGACTACCAGTAAGAAGAGCTTGGATACCTGGATTTCGCAGATGATTTAGGTCTAATGTCACACAAACTGGAACACTTGAAGGAGAAAACCAAAAACTGGTTGAAGGTAGCAGACATCGAAGACAGGATTGCAGATGAACATAGAGCAGACGGAGATGATGAATGTAAACAACCAATGGCAACAGCAACAACAACAACCAGCATCAATTACCATCAACGGAAGAGATTTAACAGAAGTTACTTCCTTCACTTATTTAGGAGGCATGGTTTCAGCCACAGGCGGATATAATGAGGATATCAAAACCAGAGTGGGAAAGGGAGGAAATCTTCTACACTCAGTTGGCATAAAGAATAAGATTCGAATTTTCAACACAGATGTGAAGTCGGTCATTTGTTCTATATGGGTCAGAAACTTGCATTGCGTGTCACGAAAAGGATTTCCGACAGGCTACAAACCTCTATCAACAGCTACCTTCTCTAGCTACATACTGAAGATCGAATGGCTGGCTGGTCAGAAAGAATAAGCAACAAAAATCTCTAGCAACAAACGAATCAAGAGCCGACCACTCAACAAATGTGTGGGAGAAAATGGAGATGGATACGGCATACACTGAGGAAACCATCGAACAACATCATGTGCCAGGCCATTCTCTTGAGTGAAATCCCTATGGGAAGCGACGAGTGGGTCATCAGTGGGAGGGTGACATGGAGGAGATCGTGTGAGGAAGAGATGAGAGATTATGGCCAGTGTTGGATGAAGCCGAAAAAGACAGCAGAAAGTACAACAAAGTGGAGACGTTTTGTTGAATGCTTCTGTTCCGCTTTGAACCCAGGGGAATAATAATAATATGAATTGTATCACGAAAAGAGCGAATTTCATTGTATTTAGCAGATACTTAGGCTATTGTCACCTAAGTGAAACTCAGAAATTTTACTAAGACTACTTATTACTGCAATTGAAAGTAGTTGCAAAATCCCTCAATTATTCAGAGAGATTTTCTCACGAAGTAAGTTATTATTATGTTAGAACAATTAATCAAGTGTCCAATATCCATACCTAGTGAAAAACTATGAATAATGCAGTTCATATAAGGAAGTAAATATAGCTTTGAAATTCATTACTTATAGCCTAAGAAAGAAAAAAGCTCATCAGCGGCATACAGTTTAAAGAGACTATGTATCGAGTAGATTTTGATACATATTTTATCCAAATACTTTATGCCTAATACTCCTCAGGAGACTTTTTTAAGTAAGTGCCACAACAATCAGTTATAATTGACCTAATGTCTGACTGAAAAGAACTAGTACATGAGACAGGTATCACTTTTTACAAGCACATTCCTTTTCCAAAGCTTAATACTCAATGCATAGATCATCATATGGAATACAAAATACCTGACAATGTAACCAATTGTACAAAATTATTCTGATTAATTTTACCGCTGCTTTATTCCGATTCAAAAGAATCACTCAAGAAAAAAGCAAAACATATTGATAAAGGCTTAAGGCAACTAATTAACTACATTCGCATGTCATTCAGATAGAAAAAATGTGTCATTTTTTTAAATTTAAAGAAATAGACTGTTATTTTTAGGATAAATTATGAATTATTAATAATAACTAATAGGTAACTTAAACCCAAATGGTTTTGCGTATAATTAACTGGTTTTCATCTTCAGTCATTGTCAAACATAGAATTTTAAGTTAACTGGAGGCCTGTGAATTGTGTACTACGTATTAGGTTTTACGCAGGTTTCTCCAGTTGTAATTTTCCACACTTTGTACTAATGGTTTTTACAGAAATTTCCCAAATAAATACCGACACATCAAACACTTATGCAACCATTACTAGTCAATTACCTAAACAAATTGTGATTTCCTAGATTGCAATAGCCACGTGATCTACTGATAGATGCTTTGACATTTGAAAGAGTGAGTGCAGGGTTAAAGTCTCTATCGGAACACCAGCACCCACTGAAAATGCAGACATATCTAGCTGACTAGTGCCAATTAGAACGAGATGTGTATCCTGGATTTCACAGCTGTGGTCATCACCAAACAAAAAATAACTTTTCTTTAACCCTTAAACAATGCTGAGATGTCCGTACTATGAGCCAATACTGTTAACAGTAACTGAGTCTTTCGGTTTAGCATAATGAACTGGTCAACGAGAAGGGAAAAATTTAACCTGGAAACTAACAGGTGTAGACTGTAATTTTCGATCGGTAATTAGGATTTACACATCAGATAAATTTAGTGAGGGTAATTGATGCAGTGGTTCTTTATAATTAAGTTACACTAATATTTTATGTAATGGTTTTTAATTGACAATTAGACTGTTAATATGCTTCTAGACGCAATAATGTTTTAATATTTGACTTTCTCATAGAAAGCCCCTTATTAGAATGAAATAAGAAATGGTTCCATAAAATGACTATTATAAAACCTTACTTCTTCTGCATATGTTATATATGAATATACATGTAAATTCGATTCTAACCATCTCCTGCTTTAAAAATACTCTTCATCTTTGGTTTCTACTTTGTAGTAAATTTCCATTCAATGACAAATCAGAATACGGTGATGGATGTGTGACAACGCATTCGCGCATGAGAGCAAATCAGTCAAATAATTTAACAAACAACCTTTTAAACATCCATTTATCTGAATCTAATCCACCTGAAAGTAAATTATTCTCGAATACAAAATTAACTCATCAAGAGTCACAAACTGATGGTGAAAACAATAACAATTCCAATGAGAAAGATGAAACAACTGAAAAATTGATTCTAGCCAAACCGTTAGCTTTGGTTGACACCAGTTACGACAACGATGACAATGGTGATAATGATGATCAAATGAAGAAAGGTGAGAAACATGCTTCAACTGGTGATGCTCACGAAGCGTCGAAAGAACTCAAAAACATTCGACATACTACTACTACTACTACTACCGATCTTTCCGGCGTTAAAAAGTCTCTTTCCGAAAGCATTTTAACATCAACGCCTAAAAAAGGTACTCCGTCAAAGAAACTACGAATGAAAAAGGTATACTTTAGAAGAACACATAGAGGATTGCCTGTTCTCACAGATACGATGTGTAAAAAGTCTAAATCTCACAGAAAGCTCAGTCCCGTGAAGAAAGTGGGGAAGCGTAGAGTATACTTCGCAGATGGGATGTCAGTCATCATAAATAACATGAATTCAACAGGAAAGCAATTAATTAATGACTGCCAGTTCAAGGATGAAAAACTACAACCAAATCAACAACAGGTTGAAATTGGTTCACCTGTACCGAGTGATGAATTTACTGATTCCCTGGAGTTGTCAACGGATTTGAAAGTTTCTCATGATCAAATTGAAAACATATCTATGAGCATAAATAGGACTGATGATTTCAGCGTTGAACGTAAACTCAATGATACAGCTGATGAGATGAAACTGGATTTCAGTCTACTCATGACACCGGTGTCAATTGCTTTACAAGATTTATCTTCCCCATCATCATATCGAACAACAGCTTCTTATCTAGATGATAGAAGTGGAAGAGATGATATTGCAGTCGCTACTGGATCAGATCTTCTTGAAGTACCAGGAGGTCAACAGGAAAAGAGACAAATCCCTTGTGATTCTACAGATATTTCTTTGAATCTGAATGACAGTTTGGAAGCCTTTGAAAGCAGTGATACAAATTTCGACTCAACGGATAGTAAAGAAATAACTAAAAGTGCATGGTTTTATCCTTCCGTTGTTGAAGAAATCAAAGAAATTTTACAGCAAAGACAATCTCTATCATCTCCGTCATCGATATGGTAAGTTTTGTGCTTCATAAGTCTGTGTGTTTTCTCAGTCTAAATACTAAACTCTTGTTTTCAATTAAAATGTTTTGTATTCTATAGAGGTCCATTTATAATTTTTAGCTGACTTGTAATTGGAGAATAAAGGCAGCTATTCAAAGGTTATCATCATTTATTATTATGTATCGATTCATGAAACTAGATCATTTTTATTACCAGTGATCTCTGGATTTCAATGATCCTCTGAATGATGTTAGTTTGTGACGAAATCTACAATGAAATTAATCCAATTCCTTACATAATTCCATAGTCTAACTATCAATCTCCAACTCTCTAGTGCCTGCTGAATAGATGCTCAGAAGTTGTAAGGAGAAGTAATGGCCAGTAGAGTCTATTATGCCAAGACGAATTGGATGTTTATGGGATGCGTTGGTTTGGCGGTAGCGCCATATCACGAATTTTCAAATGTCAGTTTGCAGGGATTTGATTAGTTACAGGTTTGATCAAGATCTGACTTCAGGCAGAGAACTGCTGGAAAACTAAGGAGTACTGCTCACCTGATTCATCCTAGCCTGGGAATTTCCAACAGTGAGCACTCACCGGAGTCAAACCCAGGACCTTTCGGTTATCACGCAAGCTAGTAGACGGCTCAGCCAATGGGACCTGATCCAATGGCCCATGAATTCCAACTTTTGACATTATATATGTATGTTGTTGTTGTATCCTTTAATTCCTACAGGAACATAGGGCTTCAGCCATGCGTCTCCATTGCGTTCTGTTCTCTGCTAGAGTTTTCACCTGGCTCCAAGTCTGTCCACACCTTTTCATCTCCTCTTCATATGACCTCCTTCAAGTCACTCTTTCACTGACGACCAACTCGCCGCTTCCCACTCGGGTTCCACTCGAGCGATGGCTTGTCTAGTGATGTCACTTGATGGTTTCCTCAGAGTATGACCAGCCAATCCATCTCCATTTCTTCCTGTCTATTTGTTCCACAATCGGTTCCTGGTTGGTTCGTTCCCAAAGATCCCTGTTACTGATCTTTTCTGGCCATCTGATCTTGAGTATTGAGCGAAGACAACTGTTAATGAAGGTCTGTAGTTTGTTTGAGATGCTCCTTATGACGCGCAGTACAAGTCTCTGATCCGTATAGTAGCACTGACTTCACATTGGAGTTGTAAAATCCGGATCTTATTTTTGATGCTGAGTGCTGTTGACCTCCACACAGACTTGAGAGTAGTGAAAGCTTGTCTTGCTTTTCCGATTCTTGCTTTGATATCCTCGTCACTTCCATCCGCCTGTAGTTGAAACGATGCTTCCCAGGTAGGTGAAGGAGGTTGTTTCTTTCAGGTTCCTCCCATTTATGCTGATTGTTGTCAGTTGTTGTTGTTGCTGTTGGTAGTGTTGGCCAGGAATTTTCATCACCTCTGTTTTATCTATGTTCACCTGAAGTCCTATCTTTGATGCTTCTTCTGCCATGTTTTTGCTTCTCGCTTGCATACCTTCCATTTTGTGGGAAATCAGACATGTTTCATCGGTGAAGTTCAGATCCTCCAAGTTCTTTGTGTGTGTCCATTTTATGCCTGTTTCCTCATTACCCACTGTTTGTCGCATTATCCAATCTACTGCAATCAGGAAAATCATTGGCGATAGTAGGTATCCAGCTTGTCTTACTCCTGTCCTCACTTCGAAGGATTCCGTAAGTTTCCCGTTTTGGATTACTTGGCATGCAGCATAATCGTATAGCTGTTGGATGAGATGCATAATTGTCGGTGGCAACCCGTAGTAGCGAAGTAGTTTCCAAATCACCTCTCGATCGACGATGTCTGCTGAAGGCCTTTTCAAAGTCGATGAAGTTGAGATAGAGAGGTGACTGCCATTCCAAGCTTTGTTCAATGATGATCCGTAATGTGGCGATCTGGTCAATGCATGACTTGTTTCTCCTGAATCCAGCCTGTTCCGGTCGAAGTTTTTCATCCAGGGCATGTTTGATTCTCTCCAGGATGATGCGACTTAGTATTTTGCTTGGGATGGACAGGAGGATAATTCCGCGCCAGTTCTTGCATTGACTTAGGTCTCCTTTCTTTGATAGTTTGAATAAGTATCTTTTCTTCCAATCCTCGGGTACTTTGCCTTCTTTCCACACCTTCTCCAGTAGTGGCGTCATTAAGTCCGCTGTTGTCTCTGGGTCCGTTTTCAATGCTTCTGCTGGGATTCCATCTGGTCCTGCTGCTTTTCCAGCTTTTAGCATCTTGATTGCCTTCAGGACTTCTGATTTCGTTGGGGGCGTTGGTGTTCATTGGTAGCTCTGTCTCCGTTGTTGGTATTGTTGGGCGCGTTGTAGGTGTTGGCCGATTTAGGAGTCTTTTGAAGTGTTCAGCCCAGTGTTTCCTTTGCTCCACTTCTTTGGTGAGTGACTTTCCATTGTCATCCTTCACCGGCTTGATTTGTGTCAAACGTTTGCCCGATAGGTACCTAGTAGTTTGGTAGAGTGTTGCGAGGTCTCCTTTGCCTGCACTGCAGCTTGTTCTGCTTCACTTGCCATGGTTTCATAGTACTTTTTTTGTCTTCTCTGGCACTCTTCTTTACTCTTTTGTTCAGTGTCTTGTAGCTTGCATTCAAATCCTGTTCTTGTTGCTCGTCGGTGCACTGGAGAATCTTTTGTTTCATCATCCCTCTCTCTTCTGTAAGTTTCCAATTGTCCGTAGTGAGCCACTGTTTGTCCTGTCTCTTCTTTCTGCCTAGAACTTCCATGCAGGTTTGACTCCACACTGTCTTCAAGTTGTTCCAGTGCTTTTCGACGCTGACCTTTTCGCCAGTGTTGATTTGTGTCTCGGCTTTGTCTTTTATACTTGCAGTGAAGATATCCTTTGTGTCCTGGTCCTTCAGTTTTTGAGTGTTGAACTGGGCTTGTGGCCTATCTGCAGCCCCTGATTCTCTGAAAGCTTTTAATTTGATTTGGATTGTCCCTTGTACGAGATAGTGGTCTGAGCCAATGTCTGCCCCTCTTCTTACTTTTGTGTCCACTTCCTGCGCCTCCACTTCATTGAGATTGAGATGAAGTCAATTCGGTTTTTTGGTTCGCCCATCTGGTGACACCCATGTAGCTTTGTGGATGTCCTTGTGTTTGTATACGCTGTCACCAATCACTAGTTCATTGGATGCACAGAAGTCGGCGAAGAGTTCTCCGTTTTCATTCATTTCTCCGAGAGCTTCTCTACCCATGATGAGTTCCCTTCCTGTGTTATCTGACCCCAGTTTGGCGTTCATGTCACCCATTAGTATTTTGATGTCACCAGCTGGAGTATTGTCCATTGTTGTCTGCAGTTGTCTGTAGAATTCTTCTTTCGTTTCGAGGTCTGCGTTGTTGGTCGGTGCATAGCATTGTATAATTGACACTCTCCTTCCTTTGGAGTTGAATCTGGCGGTTTCATTATCCTGGGCGAGATCGCCTCCCATTGCATTAGGGCCTTCGTTGCCGTTGGTGACATCATGATAGCCACGCCCTCGGTGTGCGAGTGGTTATCTTCTGGGTGACCGGAGTAGATCACTGACTCACCCGTTAACAATTTGGTGAGTCCATTCCCGTTCCATCTGCTTTCACATATTCCCAGTACTTGAATTCCGTATCTTTTCATTTCGTTTGCTATCTGGGCAGCTTTGTCAATCTCGTACATAGTACAGACATTCCATGTCCCCACAAGGACTTTTTCTTTTGTCTCAAGGAGATATATCGTGCTGAAGTTTCTGTAGCAGGTTTGTTTACACGGTGGGGTTGCTAGCCTCACGCCTAAGAAGGGGGGTTGTTACATCAATTTATAATTTAGAGGGAAGCGACCTTGTGGGTTGCTCCCCTTAAAAACCAGGAAAACAGGGAATAAACAAGCAGAAAAACACCAGCACGGGAAAATAATTCACAACAAGAAGGGTAACAAGCGACAACAACAATAATAATATCACAGTCAATTACAGTTAACCAAAATGATACCCAAATCATAGACTCACTGACTTGAGCCAACTTGAACATGTAAATCCATTAATATATACACAATTATAGGTATTAGTTAGTGTTAATCAAGCACAGAGTGGCAAATAGATAGTTATAGGTGTTATTGATATACAAGATTATATCCAAAGATTCAGTGTTTTAAAATCAAATAATTGTGAAAGTTTTTCGCAACTTTTTGGCAAGATATTCCACAAAAATCAGAGTTTTAGGTAACTGTGCAAATGTAGCGCAGTTTCATTCTAGAATAGTGGTCAATAACCATATATGTATGTAGTACAGGTCTGATTACAAGGTGACATCAGGGATTACTTGACAACTATTTTTTCCCAGTTTGAGACTCCTCAATAGTATGTACTACATACATATATAGTACATACTATTGAGGAGTCTCAAACTGGGAAAAAATAGCTGTCAAGTAATCCCTGATGTCACCTTGTAATCAGACCTGTAATTTCATGAACTGGTAAACGTTAGAGATCACGGGTCACTGAATTTCCGGCCAAGTGGCTGAACTGTCAACAGGCATGGACTCCTAACCTGAAGGCCCCCTGTTCAATCCCTGATGGAATAGTGGATGAGAACTTTTGAGTTGTCCCAAAATAGGATGGAAGGCCTTCCAATGTTGCCTGGTTTTCAATGTTGACTCCTGGCGATAAGCGGATAATGAAATTAATCCAAATCTCTATAAAACGCTAAATCTAAATTTATGTGTTACACCGAAAGTGGCTTGAATATGCAAAACGTACTTTTCATAATTATAAAAATCTTCCTGTTGTAATTATTCCGCTATTTAATATTTAGCATCAAATACTGAACTCATTAATCTACTATTACTAGCACTACAACACTAAATCCACTCCGTTTATTTGATTAGCCTGCTACAAACGCTACAGTTAACTTATTTGACAAAAGAAAGGAGTTACTGTCGGTTTATAGAAGTGAGAATTTATGTTGTACACATTGCTGAGACAAAAATTAGACTTAATAAAACTAGATATTTAGGTGTTTACAAAGCTGTAGTTGGTATAAGCTGAAAAAATCGAAAAATTACAACCTTAGAAAGATTACCGAAATTTTGTACAACAATTTAACAACCTGAATATAACTGGCCTAAGGTCACATAATGATGAAGTGAGATACTGATATTATTATCATTATTTCTTGCATAGGTTAAATTTTAATTATATGATTATTAACTGCACACTACGAAAGCGAAAATAAAATGAAAACAGTATGGAAGTTTAGATCTTTAAATGAAATTAAATCAGTAGCTGTAGTAGAATGAAGAGGTAAAATTAACCTTTTATAAAAATAAATTTCCAGTTTACTTCTTCGTATATATATATATATCTGTATATTGTCTTTTACAGTATTTTACCAGTTATTTTATTTGTCAGTTATCTTAAATTCACAAAAGATTATATTTATTGGCTTTAAATTCACCATATACCTGGTAGTGGATACGTGTCAGTGGTTCAGTGGCAGAATGCTCGTCATCCACACTCCTAATGTCAGGTTTTGAATCCCCGCCAGTGCACTCCTAAACCTCACCTAGGTTATTGACTAGTAGTGATCTCGGATACGAAAAGGGAGATTGGGCGTGAATATAGCAGCCACACGGTGTCAAACACCACCACTCCTGAATTTTAAAACCTCGAGGCAACTGTGTTAAACCATGAACGCAAAGAAATGAAAAAAAATGATTTAGCAGCAGAAATTTAGACCTTTGATGCACAACGTTTCATTACAAAAAGAAGAAGAGAAACCCCGATATCCTATTGTGCACTTTCAGATTAAATGATGTAAAATATAGGGATGAAATGGCGGATTAGATGGGAATCTGCCAATTTCCATCCTTTGTATTTAGAGAAGTTTTTTCCCCAGTGAATATTACTTTAGTTACAAAAAGATGTTATCCAGAGATGTTCTTCCTCTGAATGAAGTTTTAATCGGCATCAAAAATTATTAGCTCAGCATTTTCTGAATTTTCTACCGAAAGAATACTCTGCTTAACCTATACTATTGAGTAATGAAGTATGTAATGTATACTTCAGTACAAGTCTCACGTGGTCCGGCATTCGATACTCCACCGATGCACTCCTAAGCCTCATTAAGCTGGTAGTAAGTCCGTAAAGAGGGAAGATTGGGCGTGAGGTTAACAACACCACCCTGTAAAAATAAAAACCACTATTACTGAAACTTCAAAGCTCTACCTTAAAGCCCTATATTCCACTGGGAACGTTAAACTACAAAATGAAATTAAAAATATCAAATCGATTCTGTGAAAGATCATAAACTGCTTCCATAGCTGTGTACACTTCTTTATGATGCATGTCAATAATTAGAAAACATGAGTGCATAGTTTCCTACCGATTACCTTCAAATCTCCAACATTATTTCAAACAACACTGAGATGACCTGTCTTCTGTTTTGGTCACTGCAATAGTAACCTAGCTGATGTTATTTATTTAGGACTGAAAGCTACTCACCGTTACACCAGTCATTCCATGGTGACAAAATAATTTTATCATGTAATCAAACGAGAAGAGTTTTTTAATCCTAGAAGTAAATCTTGCACCCCTTTGTGAATATAAATGAAATCTGCAACGTCTATCATGTTCACTGTGAATCATATTCTCATTTATGGTGCTGGTTGGCAGTTGCTCTTCATCACTAACTGACGGTAATTCTAATTAGAGGGTTACTGAATTTCAACCCAGTGTCTGAATGGTCAGCTGACTTACCTCGAAACCTGGAGGTCCTGCATTTCATCCATATTGGAGTAAGTGATACAGTATTGTTTATTGATGACATCTCGAACACTTTTCATTGCTCATAATCACAGCAGGACAATCGCATAACTTTCTAACTTCGTGAATATAATTCGCTCATTTTTTAATCTTTGATTTTATATTAACTACAAATAAAATTACCAGATAAATTTACCCACAGATGGAATTATATTTTACTGCAGTGCCGAAGTTCTATTCTTATTTTAATCCATTTTTTCTTGAAAAGAACTGCTTTTTATGTCTCATGTTTCACAGTGATAATACACACAGTATAAACTCAGTAGAAAAAAGTGGTTTAAGTAACGTGCACAAAATCACTAGCACTTTCAGTTTATTCCTACACATATCTGTACTTTACTCTGGAACTCATGAAAAAAGTGTATCACGAAACCTTGTCAGCTGTCTGGCTTTGTATCGGATGTAAAGATAATCGAGAGCACTTAAGGCGTAACATCTACATCATTTATTATTCAACATTAACAACAGAAAATCATAGTCTAAATACCTCATATCTAAAATGTCAGTGAGGTTTAAATCTCCCAAATGACTTAAACTTTTTAAGGGTTAAACTAGTACCAATAATTATTTTACTTATATACTTTTACACGTTTATGACTCATGATTCATAATACCTTAAACTTGATTTTGAGTTTTTAAAACACTGTGTGATAAAAAAGAAATACTTTTAAAATAATCGGTGATAAATTTGCAGCGGTCTAGGGAATTCATCCCTAATCACTTTGATTACTCCTAAGAAATGTCAGTTTTCGGCAGTGTGAATGCATGGAGACCATATGAAAATAAACACAGGTAATGTTTATTATAAGAGTAAATAAAGAATGACTTATCATGTCTTTTATCAAATTAACAGGTAGAATAGTTTTGTGTTTCACTAATACTCTGTATCTACTTATAAGTAGTTGATACATAATTAATGATTTTTTGTTGTTGTTGTTCAAATTTCAGCTCAGAAGATTTATACCTTGACGATCACTCAAGCTGTGATTTAAATAGTGATGGTAAGTGATTGTTTCTATTGAATTTCTTTAATTTAGTGTATCTTTCTACCTTGTAGTAGAGTTGGGATACTTTTATCTTATTTCCTTTTCACTTAATATCTCTACTGAAGTTGCTAAAGTTGAGTCATTTATTAACAGATTGTTCATTACGGATGATTACCGGTATTTTGATGATAACAACTAACTCATAACGATAATTGATACTCATATTTATAATGATTACCTTTCAGATAAACTGAGTGCAAGTGTATTAAATTTCGTCCGATCTCACACACACTTCTTTAAAAAAATGTATTGCTTTCTGTTGACACCAGGTGTGACTTAAGTCTCATCATCTTCAAAGGAGACTACTTACTTGCAGTAACAGAGCGGATTTCTGCTTCAGATAGACCCATCCGCCTTCCACACTACTCTACAATAAAAAAGGCAAATAATAAAGGTGATACATTTGTACTTTGAAGATGTTGTTAGACAGAATAATGCAAAATTAGTGGTTTTGTTTTAAAGATGTATAATATTTTCATCAAGGATTTTCATTAAATAGGTCCCATAGCACAGAATTAAGAAAATTTTTATTTTTACTACTCTTGACGCTAAACCACTTTATCCTAAAGATAAGGTACACGTTTTTTTATCCTCTAATTCTAATATGCTGGAGGTTTCATTTAAGATATCAATTTCAAGTTAATGATGTGGGTGACATAATGAGCAATAAACGTACCTGATTTCTGACCTTAAAGGTCAGGCAATTTCGTTACATTTTATCACCTTGACCGGAAATAATGACATTACTGTGAATATTTTTTATTATGTCATACTGTCCTAACATTTCAGTTACTAAATAACTGTGCTGTATGGTATGTATTCCACCAGATTTTATATTCATTCCTACTGCATGAACATATAATTTAGCCATTTTCATCATTCGTTTCTTATGTAAATTGTCCTCAAAGTTGTGAGTACGTATTTTATAGGAATACCCTTGTAAATTAGTTCATTGTGAACTAGAGTTTATGATAATGAAACTGTGTTAACTGGCCATTCTTGTATAAAAATAAAGTACGGCAAAAGGTCGTTCTTCACTTCTGCTTGCTGAAAAGTGCCTGAATATTCTTCGCTTCACCACGTGTTATGTAGAGAATATTATCTGTTCTAATTGTCTAGGTTATACACCAGATGCAGAGTGAACCCTACTATGTCATGGATTATTTCTAGGACTCACTGAGTTGTATTTTTAACAAGTTGTATCACACATTATATCATTTATAGGAATAAAATAGCGACACGTGGCTTAAGTGGAGTGTTCAACACTTTTGCAAGCATTTCAATGTTTACATTTAGCACAACTCGTCGATATAATCACTACTATTCCATCTTTTTCCTATCATTCACTTATGGTCCATAAAAGATTAGTCACTTCTTGAAGCTCTTTACACACGATTACTGACCCCCTTATCATTTTCTAATGCATTCTACATGTACTGTACCTTTTAGTATCATAAGTCAAAATACTTTAGTATAGGAAAGTCAGCCCCACAGGATGTTGCAATTCAACACCATAAAATTTCTGACTGAAGTTTGTTTAATAAAGCATCGAAACAGAATTACTTATACTTAAACAAAGACTAAACCAAAAACACTTAGGAATTCAGGTTAGCTGGTTTGCCATGCCGGAAGGGCCTGGCAATCTTCATCTGTAGATATTTGAGGTAAGGTGTCGAGTGTTAAGCAAGGTGGAAAATTTATCAGTGATGTTGTGAAACTGCATTGATGGAGATGGTTTGGACATATATCATGAATGACAAGCCATCGCATTCCTCGGTGAGTAATGTCAGCTGAAATACAATTAAACCAGAAAAGACTTGCGGACGGTCAAACTAAAACTTGGTATCAATCTATGAAGTCCTTGGCTGTTAATTCAAGCCAAGCCGGAAGATGTGGACAGCCTGGTCGAACTCCTTGGGACGCTAAGAACAAGCGTTTAGAGATCGTTTGCTTTAAATCATTCCTAATCATGCGGATGCGCTATCTCATTCATTCTTCACGAAATTATACTCTTTCTTTTATGTTGTCATTTATTATATAGTTTCTTTTAAGCTCCCCCTCTGTTTTAATGTATTCTTTTCTGAAGTATAGAGGGCTGAACGGCTACAGTTTGTGTTAAGTTCTACTTTGAAAGTTTCAATTCAATCTATTGTCAGATGTGATTTGGTGAATAGTTGTACTAGACTAACATTTCTCAAATTTACACACTTCTGTCGAAAAAGTCTGAAGTGTTAGTATGTCTGAGAATTAGGTGTATCCAAATCACTGACTGCTGTTCTTTAGCTACATCTTGTTTTACTATTTTTTGGAAGACATTTTACAATTGACTACAGTTTCTTTAAATAACTCCTCTTCCTAAATGGCAATGCTTTTTAATTGGTAGACTTTGTTTCTGTTTATTTTCTATCAGAGAATTGTTGCTGTATTATTCTCAGATGCATCAGCCACGGCTCATACTTTAACGAATTTATTTTCATAATTTTTATATATGGAAACAAATTCTGTCGTTTATAATTTTAAAATTATCTTGATAGTTTTGTCATTTTCAAGTAGTTTCAGTAGTCTGTTTTCTTCTTGTCACCATGACAACTATGGCGTCTGTTTATATCACCGTCCTTTCGATTATCGTCTTTCAATAAGTATATATATACATATATAAAGAAATACCAGTAAATTACGTCGGTAAATCTGCATGAAGTTTTTCAGAAGTTTCCTTATTTGCAAATACTTGACCAACTTCCAATCAAAATTAAACTTTAGGAATTTCAACCACTGTGAAGCGTCTCAGCATATTTGTCACTATGATGTAGATTTCCAGACATTATTGACAAATAAGTGCAGTCTTAACAATAATTCTTCTACATACAGTGAGCATGCAAAATATGTAAACTTATTCAGCATACTTATTGAACACTACTACGAGACACAGTACTATTAATAAGAGCTTTCTGAAAAGTGACGGACGTCAAACGGAACCAATCGCTTTTGAACTGCTTATTTTCTATCAGTTACAAAATAGACATTATCTTAATACATTTTGTTATGAACCGTATTGCATTTTAGGCCTTAATTCACTGTCTAACAAACATACCTTTGTAAAAGCATGATATCAGGCAATAATACGAAACAATATTTCATCAGACTTTTTCAACATATTTCAGGTAATATATCATTTTAATACATGTTGAAGGATATTTCATGTTAGGCATGGTGATGAATATTTTTTCTTGTCTTGAAAGAAATACGGCACACATAGTCATATAGTACGTGCATCGGTGGCACAGCATTAGAAAGTTCAGCAACCGCACATGTGGTTTGGAGTTCGATCCCCAGCTAACGTACTTCACAACCCCACTAAGCTAGTAATAAGACTGGTAAAGAGGGAAGGTAGGGCATGAGGCTAGCAACCTCATTCCTTAAAAATGAAACCACTGCTACTGAAACTTCAAAGCTCTAGCTTGAAGACCTATGTTCCACTGGGAACACCTAGGAATTAAAAAAGCTATATAATACAGAAAGTATAGGAATTAAACTGAATTCGGATCACATTCTCCATAGTTTGTGTTTCCGTGTAACAAGATCGCGTCTGAAAGTAATTTGTATAATTCAGTCTACTAGCATATAAATTTGAGAAAAATCTTGATATTAATTGTGAGAAAAAATTATTATTATATTATATTATATATATTATATTTCGAGTAGACACATATGGTCACAGCTGCACACCTCTAATACACTCAATTCTGTGCTTTTACTTTCACCTGGCACCATCACTTCCTACAAGTCTTAGTTCCCTGTTAACATGTTCTCCTCCATGTCATCAGCTAACATACGCCCAACAAGGAGCTTCCGGTCAGTGTTCTATTCATCATTCAAAGGTTTCCTCAGGGTATATCCAGTTCATCTTCATTTCCTTCTGCGTATTTGTTCGTCCATAGGTTGTAAGCTGATTTACCGCCTGTCACCATTCCTTTCTGGACTGAGATTTGATCTTCACCGACGGAGGTAGGTGTCCGTAAAAGTCTGCAGCAGGCCATTAAAGGCGCTTTCAGCGATGTGTGTGCCAAGCCTATGAACAGCAGAAAAGCACTTATTAGACGTCATTGTTGAAAATTCTGATGTTTGTCTTTGTACTATGTGCGTACATTTATCGAAAAACGTTGATATGTGTACAAATTAATAGAAACAGATATTGAAACAACGTCAATGAATTCATTTAAAGCACTAATTATTACCTGCACAGATATCCCAAAGATATGAAGTTATGTCGTATGCAACCGTGTTTAGACTAAAAAAACGTTGTGCAAGATTGCCTGAGATTTGGATTAACATTGATGCTATTTGAGAAAGATGCATACACCAAGTATCATTAACAACTTGGTGAACCCACTGAGAAAGTGAAGTTGATGCCAGAAAAACATGCTAAACAACACGTTCCGTATAATTATGTTTCATAAGTAGTTATACACGGGTAAAATAAATGGGACAGATGATGTTATCCTCATTCTAGGCGAAATTTCTAATTATAGTTACATTACTACATTTATAAAAATACTGTATTCACACTGAGACTTGATCAACTACCAGTTTGAAATGGTATCATACAGTTTGAAGTCATTAACACAGGTATGTCGATGGTTCAACGGTAGAGTGCTAACCGTCCATGCACGTAGGGTTCAAGTCCCGGCCGCCGGACACCTTTACCTCTCTTAACCGGTTATAATTCCGATAAAGAGAGGAGATTAAGCGTGAGGCTAATAACCCCACCCGTAAAAATAAACATCAATGCTATTGAAACTTCAAAGCTAAAGCTAGAAGCCCTGCGTCCCACTGAAAACGTAAAGGAAAAAAAATTTACAAGTGGTGAAAAAACCTTCCATATTACTACCGTAAATCTAAGCCAGTTTGCATCCAGCTAATTTCAAATGTATGGATTGCAGAAGATTGTAGATTTTTGGTAGACAGATGAAATTTAGAGGTAGAACTCAATCCCAATAAATTCAAATACGAAGAAAAAGAAATTATAACTAACAAATCAAACTCTTTGACAAAGCAGTAGTCAGAATGAAGAATATTCTGTTGTAACATACAATAAGTTATTTTAGGTAAAACTTAACAAAAAAAAATATCTCTACCCAT